ATATATTATGGAAAATCAACAGACGGCGTCGCGATCGTCTACAGGAATGCTTACAAGGTGTGGAGTTGGATTCGTCGGCCAAAGGCTGTACGTTCGTTGTACTGTACAACGCAGTGAGTGCCCGGTCTTAATGACAATGACAAAACAAAGGTTATTGTACTTAGGCTTACCATGATTGTTTTGCTTTTGAAATTCTGTCCCGTGCTATCGCAGGACTCGCCTTTCGGACAGCAGCCAGAGTTACTGCCACAGCGATTTAGGTTCACAGCCGGAGGAGAGATAACGATATTGGGCGGTATAGCCAATTCATCATATAAATCAATCATTTTCATACGTGGTTTCAGACACTTCGACAAATGAAATTCATCGCTCATCTCAACAAGTTCTGTTTAGAAGAAACATTACAGATTCTGTTAGTAAATATGTAACATCGTGAAAGTATATATAATGTAGCCGTCAGTAGCGGATCTATTAAAATGATTGGGGAAGGGATGATTGGGGTGGGGGTGGTTAGCTGGTGGTGGTGGTGCCTTCTGATTGGTACAAAGTATGGCGTCATTATTAGGCCTATTGTCTCTACTATATAAATAAGATGGCCGCCACCGTAGATTGTCGTCATCATCTAATTCCTCCATGGAATGGAGTACTACAAAAAACAATAAAATATAAGGAATAATATATCACGTATATCAATGAAGTCACTGTACATAGGCTTTTACTTACTATCGCCAGTAAACGTGGGGTTTGGCTTCGGTTCTTCCGAGAAAGCTTTTAAGTACAATCCATGGAAAATGACATATTCGTCGTCCGTTTGGTTATTTGGAGAAAAAATTTGTAGGAACTCTGAGGGAGAGTGTTTGTAGCTATTTCTTCGCAACGTATCCACACTTTCCTGTAAATTAATACAAATTTTCAAAGTTCTTTAAGTTTCTAATTGGTGTATTTTTACACTTTGCAATGTTTCCGACATCCATTACATAAAGCTGTTGATGGAAAAATGTTTAAAAAGTTGAAAACACTAGAAATATTATTATAAGTTATCTCACTTTGTCGGTATAGTACTGATTTATCGGGATGATATATAAATCATGTTTTGATTAATAATTTACATTATGTTGCATAATCAGGCGTTATGAGACGTCCTCTAATTGTGTAGATACAGTATGACAACAATGTTTACTGCTTTTTAAGCAGTCTGAGTAGGTCTCCACTCAGGAAATAATATTACGTAAGCTTTTTAACGCAACGGAAAGACACATCTTTAGAACCACAAATACTCAATGTCACCACATGTGAGATCTAAAGTAACTAACAACTAACTACTTGAACACAAGACAGTCAGGAGCCCATCTAACTTCAAAAACAATTACATCCACTTTGGCGTTATTATTTATTTTAATCGGTACACAATAGGCCTTCATCGAACAGGAACACTAGCCAAAATTAAAACGGTTCTGATACATGATAGGCCCATACCTCCATGATAGTCCTATGATCAATACGGAATTGAAAGATTTATGGATACAGTAATATTTCCTTATCTCTTAAGCAATATGCCATACTGCAGAAAAAATAATATGCTGGAATAATGTCAAAACCATCTGCCGTATCAGGTATAATGCTTGATGGGCCGTCAGAAAAATATTTATTGACCGGTAAACAAGGTAATACACTTGACTATTAAAGGTTTTCTTTCCAAACAAGTTCGCGAAAGTTTAATTTAATTTACATAGACATTTTAGAAATGGTTTGCACCTGCAAAAGGGACTCTGCGTCCATATTTGAATTTCTATAAAACAAGTGAGAACGCGAACGCCACAGGCGATGTTGGAGGGGTCCAGAATGTTCACGGTAACCGATTTCTGCTGTCGAGGGTGAAGCTCCGGGGCTAACAGTACTTTCAGGCTTCTAAACATTAATTTAGACCTGGGAGTTCGCCTGGGTTGAAAATTACTTCAGTCCGACCAGGTATACAGCATTATTCAGAAAAAGTAGGCTGCCGATAATCATGTAGAAACGCCTCTTTCGACCACATGATTGTTCGGGTCATGGTCTGACTGGCCTAACTTTGGATAGTAGTTTATGCGTTACTCCGGAAATTTAATTATTTTAATTCAGTTCAGATGAGAAATATTACTGTTAACTATATTCTGTTAGTGTTACAAGAAAAGTAGATGGCCTAAGGTAAAAATATATATTCAATTCAATCCAAATTGCATATTATTCTTGATAGCTAAAATGGAAATGAATACAAGTATAAGCCTACTCATATAAATAGGAAGTGTGATTTACAACTCAATCGGAAACTATGGGCCATTATGCATATGACATAATGTCACATATATATTCTTATACACATCTAGATGTGTATAAGAGACAGTATATATATCTTGCCCATTTAACGAAAATTTTTGTTGAAGGGGGCTATGCATGATACGATATGATGTTCCTATTTGGGTATCGCTATTCTTATTATTATTATTTATTATTTACCTATCTATCGTTTGGATATGATTAATTTTTTTATTCACACAAAGCACACAAAATCCTCATAAAGTGTAATAGTAATCGCTGTAACGTGATTCATTTTTCTACATAGAACATTTTTTAGGGTGGTGATAAGTATTTTTCCCTAGGCAGCTCAGGATATACATCGAGAAAGTGGAAACTAGCGAATTATGACAATGACCTCCAAGGCAAACACAGTCGTATTTCAATCACATACCAGCTGACTACTGTCACCTTTGTAAAGCTAGGTCTATTATTTTATGAAAAAATACATGTTGTGATATTTCACTACTACCTATTATATTTATGCACGTTTGTGTATGTAAAGGCATAGAAGATAGAAGACATACTGTAATGTTGTAATATTAATTTTGTTAATATTGGTGTTAAAGTTTATATACAGTCCTCAAAATTCACAAAAATACTGCAATTGTATCTTGGAAATAGTCTCACTATCATTACAAATCATCACCAACATTGTATTCGAGCAATGCCGTACGTAGCCAGCTATTGGGGCAGTCCCACACAATTTTTCTAATGGGTCCAAACTATGTAATTTTATGCACAAAATGGGTCCAGATTTCTCATATTGATTTAGCTTAAAATGGGTTAAAAAAAAAAAAAAAAAATGGGTATTTTTTTGCATAAAATGGGTCCACATTGTTTGTGTTTGAGAGTCCACCCTGATATTTCCCCGCACTGTTTTAAATTCCTGGGTACGGCATTGTGCTAGAGGTAGCACCACGCACAACTACCGTATCCCAATCATCATAAGCAATGCAAATAAAACTTTCTTTTATAAAAGCTTGGAATAAAAACACCGGTTGATATAAAAACATCCCCTAATATAAACTTGTTTAAAAGAGCTCCTATAGAAACTACATGTTTAGAATAATGCCCTAGTGAGTTTTTAAATTTTAAGTGATTTTTAATAGTTTAATTAATATTATTTTTTTCTTATGTAGATGATGTTCCAATAAATAAATGTTTATTTTCAAAATGCCGTATTCTTAAATTTTATATATTTTTATTCATTTTTAATTTGTATTTTTACTGCTTTTGAGTGATGTGTGATTGAGTGATGAGTGATTTTGTCATCTATTTTAATACAGTTTATGCCTTTTAAACTGCTTGTTTTTCTGTCTTGATAAAATGTGCAATCATATTTGCAAGAACCCCAATGAGAAATACCGTAAGTTTTACTCTTTTTTTTTTTGGCTTTTCCTTGTCAAGTTTTGTGCAATTTTTATCTTGTCAGTTTTTTAGTAAATTGTTATTTTTTTATGTAGGCCTATGTATTTTATGACTCTGAATACGAATAAATTCAATCAATCAATCAATCAATCAATCAATCAATCAATCAATTAATCAATCAATCATTCAACCAATCAGTCAATCAATCAATCAATCAATAGTTTTCGTGGTGTCGATGTGTAGTTTATTTCTTGTATACGCCCTATAGCTTATTTATTTATCAAAGCAGTACGCTAATATCTCGTCGTCTAGTTGAGGCGAATTAGCAGTTGTAATATACGGTACATACAAAGCAATACGGTACGTCTTAAGATACCGGAAACGAAATTTATGCAATATTCTGATTTAAATCTCAACTCTTAATAATGCACTAAATAAAATAAAATAAAAAAATAAAAAAATAAAATAAAATAATAAAATAAAATAAAATAAAATAAAATAAAATAAAATAAAATAAAATAAAATAAAATAAAATAAAATAAAATAAAATAAAATAAAATAAAATAAAATAAAATAAAATAAAATAAAATATCCTGGTTCTCTATACATCAACAATCATATTCGTGATCAATCTTATTAGAAGTCTCGAAAATCAGATGAGTTAGGCCAATCAAATTTGCAGCTAATCTACAATTACATTTTATATAATTAGTAAAGATTCGTTTGAAAGAAATAGCAATCTAAATTGAAATCGATATGCTAGTCAAACCATATACAATGATATTACTTAATTTACTATATGAATACAGTCCTGTTTCTTGAATACCTATTTAATATTCATATACATTTATGAATACAGTCCTGTTTTTTTGAATTTCTTGAATGTTATTTAATATTCATATACCTATATGAATACAATCCTATTTCTTAAATATTATTTGATATTAATTATTAAATACAATCCTGTCTTATGAATTGTACTTAATATATGAATATTAATTACAAGTCAATAGACATGATGTCTACCAGTAAATGATGAGGATGACAATGATGTTGTTGATGATGAATGATGATTATGGTATAAAATTATGATGATGATGATGAGGATGATGAAGATAATAAAAGCAATGATGATGATGATGATAATGATGATGTTGATGATGACAACAATGATACTGATGACGATGATAATGTTGATAATAATTAACGATAATGAAGATGATAATGGTGATAATGTTGACGAAGATAGTGACAACGAAGGTGATGGTGATGATAATGATGATGATAATTATGAGGTTGATTAAGATAACTACGATGTTCATTACGATTACGATGATGATGATAATAATAATAATGATGAGACCAGTGAGAAACCAAAACAATGTTGGTTTGCCCAAGCACGTGACAAGTTGGAATCAGTCGGTCATTTTTTTTTACAACTGCCCTGGTGGAATGGTAACCACTGGGCTGAAATTAAAGGTTGAAAATGTCACTTTTACGTCAGACATGTATTTGGCCTCATTATGTGCGAGATTTCATGTTTATTTTATTTATTTATTTATTTATTTATTTATTTATTTAAAAAAAAAAAAAAAAAAAAAAAAAAAAAAAAAAAAAAAAAAAAAAAAAAAAAAAAAAAAAAAAAAAAAAAAAAAAAAAAAAAAAAACTCAGAAGAGCTTGTAAATCAAGGTGTCCGAAGTAACACAAATGCAAAAAGAAAAACCAAAAAGCTAATAGGTGAATAAATAAATTAAGTGAATAAATAATATTTTTTTTTCTTTAAAAAGAATATAAATAATAATTATGATTAAAAAATATTTAAAAAACGATGATGATTTTGACAATAATGATTATAATTATGATGATGATCATGAGATAACTAATTATAACAAAAACTATAATGATGAAATACATATTAATTTCCAAAGCACGTATTGAATTTCCAAAGCATTATATAGTCAGGTGTAATGATGTTGCCTATATTTTAATTTTATGTATTAGTCCAACACTACAAATATCAATTTTAATGTTATTTGTAAAATCGTATTAAATATAAACTTAATAAAATGTGGTTATATAACTTGTTGAATCAAAATCATGTTGTAATGGTAATGGATATAACGTGATAAATATAATTAGAAGAAGAAAACATTGAACGTAATTAAACGGTGATAAACGTGAGTATGAAAAATATATTAAGCTACTCTCATTATGGAAGAAGTAATATGTAAAAACAGCATTCATTATAAGCATAGAAAAAAATTTAAAAATTTAATTTAAAAGTTACTAAATTAATTATTATAATGGTGCAAAATGTACAAAGTGATTAAAAGAAGAAAAAAAAATGAGAGAAAGTGTCTCTATCATTGTGCAAAGAGTACAAATAGAAGTGTTAATATTAGAAGTGAATTTCAGAGGTTTTAAAATCGATAAACTTAATAAACAGACCTCTTTCAAATTACATTTAAATGCATTACCACCAGGAAAATAAGCAAAGTATAAGAAAACATAGAAAATCAGTCAATAGAAAATTGTGTAAATAGGCCTATATATTTCTAGTTTTCCCGGTTAGAAAATTTTTCTTAAAATTAGCGTATGCAGTTTTAATTATGTGCTTATCTCAGAGTAGAGGTGATTCAAATTTTGAACAAGAAAAACACCGGAGTGAAAAAATGCGCCACGGTGACCCCACTCACTAAGTTTGAGAAACGCCTGCGCCGTGTCAATATCTGGGAGGAGTCCGTTGAAATTGCCTTCTTTGCCCGCAAAAACATCTGTGGATAATGGAAACACGTCGAAATAAAATAAGATTATTTTGCATTTTTAAACTAAAATAATACGGTACATAATCATAAAAATATAATTACATTTATACAGCGATACAGCACCCTACATTTGGCGGTTTGATAACGCTGACAGGCTCAATATAGTGTTCGTGAAAGCAAGGTAATTTTTATATTTGGATTTCGTGTGCAATGTTTGCTGTATATAATATTTCAAAATGATAAATATACTTTAGGCCTAAACCATAGGTAATACAATACATTTTATAACATGTAATCAAATGAAGAGTAATAAATGCATAACTTTGGGTTAATGCTGAAACAAATATACACATTGTGAACGATGATGTTGCCACACTGGCGCGCTCCCCTACGCATTTATCACCGACCCGTTGGCACGTTTCACCTGTTGTCAGCCTATCACAAGGATAGGTTCAGTTTTAGCCTGCGCTTTGCCATCCATGAAATCAAATCATAACTACCAGACATTTCATTTACCAAGTAGGGTGGCGTTTTATGAACGAACACATTTTTGTCCAAAGAGTGCCTTAAGTATGTCTAATATATAAGGGAGGGATATAGTTTAGGCAAGAGTGATATTATTATTATTATTATTATTATTATTATTATTATTATTATTATTATTATTATTATTATTATTATTATTATTATTATTATTTATAAAGTATTACCACCTAAAGGATGCCTGCACCATTCAGATCTCACCGGATACCACAAGTCAAAGAAGTGTGTCAATGCTACAGTTATAGCTGGGCAAAATTTAGTGTGATATGAAGAACAACTGGTAATCATCATCATCATCATCATCATCATCATCATCATCATCATCATCATCATCATCATCATCATCATCATCATCATCAAAATTATCATCATCATCAATTGCTATTACTGTTATAGTAAAATAATTATTAAGTCTACTCTTTTTTAAATTATCATTACTTTTACTAGATAAAATCACAGGGAGGGTGGCGAACAGCTGGGTTGCAAAATGGCCTGATCACAAGAAGCGGTAAAGAGACTGGAAACATGAATGGATGTATCAAATTCATATAGACCAAACATTTAATTATTCATAAATAAAAGTAGCAATTAGCCTAATTCATGTAATTTACAATATTAAAAATACTGTGAGTAAAAAAGGAGAATAATTATGATAATGACGGTGATAATGATGATGAAAATAATAGGCCTAATATGCTAACTCACTGGACTACATTTTTACACTGACTATACCAGGAACAACCCAATGTATTGTAATGTCCCAAATGTAAATAATTTATGGAGCTCGTAACAAAAAGGTAAATAGTGCCACTTTTCAAGCCTCTTTGTTAAACCTCTGCATAGAGTACAGTACATTTAAGAGAACAACTTGTTCCGATATACGGTAGGTTTATATAAAATACAATAAAGGTATACACATTGTATTCCGTTATGAACCCAACGTTTTTATAGGTGGAGGGGTCTATGAGAGCCATAAGTCTATTGGGTTCCATAACTTCCCTTGAGTACCGTATTCCAAAGGAAGAGTGATCAGGCGCTCGGCAAACGTGAGGTGGAACTAGGTCCCAAAATAAGTTCATATGAGGTGATTGGAGAGGGATTTTTTAATGGAGGTGGGGAGACTGAGGGCGAGCTTTCAGGCGTACCCCCTCCCCCTCCCTGCATAGCCCCTATACGCCACTGTTTTATTAGAGAGGGCAAAGGGCTTTTCGCTTGACAATTCAGCCGAGGCATAGAAAGCACACCCCCCTACCTCCCATTGCCTGGGGATATTGTGGTCTAAGCATGCTGACGGTGAATTAATGACGAAGGCTATGTACTGTCAAGTCAGAAACAGTTTAACTGTACTCTAAGTTTATGGGGTTGTCTTCAACTGACTCATGGATAGTTCCGGTAGATTAGATTTTATCAAAGCCTGTAAGGTTTACGAACTCAAAAGTCACGAAGCATTTAACCATTCTGTTGATAGTGAATGATTTGATATATAATAGAATAGACGGTAAGCACGATTCAAGTTCATTTTTTGTTGAATTGTCAAATTTTTACTGTAGAACAAGGTTAATATATTGAGCACGCCAATCACCAAAAAAATCGTTATGTCTAATGTAAAAACAGTACTATATCTATATGCAACCAATTACGTACGGTATATGAATTCTTACGAAGAAATGAGTAAAGAATCAGCGCCTTACTTCCAGTAAAGAGAGGCCCTACACGTATTATTACGCGCGTACATGGTGAACCAGTGCTTTATAAGTATGATTCAACATTAAAGATGAGGTTAGCTCTTTATGGTCGTTATCGCAGGACTATTAGTTAATTAATTTTTTGTTTCTTAACTGCCTATCTAAATATTTCAACTGTTTTAATACTTACGCTTACTACCTGAACATGCAAAGTTATGGCTAGAATTAAGGGAAATAACTAACACAAAGACAATATCCACTTTTGTCTAGCAGTATCGGAATTCAATGGCTCTTGTATAGCACGGTTTTCAACACATATGTTAGTTTTTCTACGAATTATTTTTGGGACGAATGGTTACATTGATTAGAAAAAAGGGGTTTTTATATATAAATATTGAAGTACTGAAGATACTTCAGATCTCTCTGTCTCTAGTTTAATTCCATCGCTAGTGTCCTTGGTTCCACTGGATGGCTGAATTATAGGCCTAGAAAAAGTCATTTTCCCGTGTGCAAAAATTAGACCATGAAAATTCAGCCGAAGCATAGAAAGCACATCCCCCACCCCCACCCCCACCCTCATTGCCTGATCGGATATAGTGTGGTCTAAGCATGCTGGATTGACGGCGAATTAATTACGAAGGCTATGTACTGTCAAGTCAGAAACAGTTTAACTGTCTCTAGTTCCATTCCAAATTAATGTGCACGCGACGAAGGAAGGGACTTCGGTATAAGAGTAGGGGATTGTCCCATGGTCTATTGCGCAATCCACCATTAGAAAAAAAAGTCTTCGGATTTTCTTAGATAATCTTTGATGTGTTTCAAACTAAAGAAATCAAATCAATTTCTTTTAAATTAGTACTTAGTTAGTATTTTTCATCGTCATAATTCGAATTATTCGCTTACATGATGGAAAAAGGTATGCCCATAACGTATATGCCTCTATATTAAGTCTCAAAATAAAGCTGTGTTGGTTTTACTCGTTAAATCCGAAGTGTTTGGTTTGATATAATTTTAGAAAAAAAAAGGTTATGACCTATGGTTTTTGACAGCAGATTACTCTTTATTCAGTATAATACCACAAAAGCACTGCAAAGAGTTGAAATTTATATACACATAAGCGGTAAGATAATCATACGTCGAATTTGGGTCTCCAGCTTGCGACGCCTAAAGATCTGCCGAAAGTCCTCAGGGCTTCGTCATAAATAGACCGTCCTGAAAGCAACATTATTTAAGGCATTATAATTACAGAGCAGTATAAAAAGTTCATGAAACCATGAAACACTTTCAACACAACATACGTATGCCTTTTCAAGACAGACCAATGAACACTTCTTATCAATAACAATGTAGTAATGGGTAAATAACTCCCTACTAAACGATGAATTATATATATAGCTTGACAAAGGTTGACAACCGAAAACGTTTGCTCACTTGAATACAATTATATATCTGGCAACTTATTACCATCTCTCCGGAGTTTTTGTTTTTTCTATCTTGTTTGCCAATGCAGCCCTCCAGTTTTATATATATATACTGTCTCTTATACACATCTAGATGTGTAAGTATGTATAGTCTGTCTCTTATACACATCAGATGTGTATAAGAGACAGGTCCATCACCACCCCTCGTATGATCCCAATGTACACTAAGAAAGACTGTGCCCTATTTTTTTTATCTACTTTACATCAGTGAATAGGAAGAAATTGGAAGGACCTGCAATTTATTTTATGGGGCTTCAATGCTGTAGAGTAGCTACGAGGCGCCTACGGGTGGGGGATGATTAGTATTAGGAGGAGGCCAACATGCTGATTGTTGGTGGTCTGGGCAGCTCGGGTGCATCCCTTTGTTCCGAAGGATATTTGATCCGAAGGCCCGTTGGTCCGAAGGGTCTTTGGTCTGAAGGCCTGTTGGTCCGAAGGGTCTTTGGTCCGAAAGTCCGTTGGCCGAAGGGTTTTTGGTCCGAATATCCGAATTTTAATGACCTGGTTTTCCAGGAATGTAAGTTATACATTTTAAAATCGTTTATTAATCGCCGCCAGTTTTTGCTTATGTAAACAAATTTGCAACTAAAATGTTCCTAGCTAAGTGTCAAATTGGCTCTTCAGTTGCCTATAATTTAGAGACGTATTACCACCGAAATCACGAATGCGTTTTTTTATCTGCTTTCTTGAGTGATTCTTTATTTTACATGATACATTGCGTACTTTTATATGACCAGCATTTACAATATATTATGTGAGGCCTGCATTTCTCCATATTTATTCTCGGTTTTTCATTCAACAAGTAATAATTGTATGTCCCCAATATGTGTTTTTTCAATCATATTTTTCTCTATATATTTGAAATATATTTACTTCGAACCAACGGACCTTCGGACCATATACACTTCGGATCAACGGACCTTCGGACTAACGACCATTCGGACCGAACTTCGGACCAACGCCCTGACCCCGAATGGGGGGGGGGTTAGAGGTCCTGGAAGATAAAAGAATATTAGGGATTCTAAGGTATGATATGAGCTAACGTAACAACCAATATTCAAGGTTTTATAAATAACACTGCTGTGTGAGCCCTGTTAATGAATAGATATTGACCTACGTTTTGCGGATCCGGTACGTGGGACAGCCCATTGTGGTGGGGAGGCCCTGCGGCCTTACTAACTTGTACGCCCAATGGATCCGCTTAGAATGGAATGAAATGAGGTGGCGAGTAATTTTTGGAGGGGCGTGCGCCCCCCCCCCCTTCCCCGCGCAACCCCCTAAATACGCCACTGCAAATAAT